TTTTTTTTTCTTTTTTTCTGAATTCTTTTGGCAACGATAATCACGAGACAAATATATTTTGGGAACTTGTGTTAGGACAGTGTTGGACTCATTTCGTGGGATGTCTTGAGGTTTTTCTAAGCATGGAAGTGAAGCATGTTCATTGTCATATAACTGTAGCATGGGCAGTGCAAATTGCCTTAACTCTGAAAACTTCAAATTCGAGAGGGATCCAGGTCTCTGCTTTTTTGCATTGTTTGTTTGGAACCAGTCTTATAGTTAAGGCAAGCCACATGCACACATATTAATTTCTGTGATAGTGACTTCTGTTCAGTAAGCTACATAAGTTGTTTTATTTTATCCTTATTTGCACTGTGTTATCATAACCTCTCGAGTAAATTATTTTTGTGGCTGTTCCCCTAACAGGAAACCGAAGCATGTCTGTTACTCTTGACTCCCACCCCTCCTCATGGCTCTTATTGGCTGGTTTCTGATTTTTGGATTCATTATTTACCGAAGCAGACCGTGCTTTAAACGCTTGGCTTCGAGAATTAACTGCAAAGCGTAGTGCTTCCTTATTTCTTCAAGTGTCTTCCTTTCAAATGAAATTAGAATAAATCTTGAACATGACGACTGGTCATCCTTTCCAATCAGTCCAATAACAACTTAAAGATCATGAAGTCAGCAAGCAGTTTTTTCTTTCAATTTACTGCTTTCAAAGACTTCAAGCTGGAGGTATGAAGGGGTGTCAATCATTTTGCACTCGTGATGGCTAGCTTAGGAAGTTACTGCAAGGAATATGTCAGCATTCACTTTTTAAAGTGAGCAAACAGAAGTTATCATAAAACCATAAGAATTATAACAGTGCAGGTGGGAAACCTTTTTAAAAGTCCTTCTTTTTTTATTTTTTGAAGGGGTAATATGACACTAGTTCTTATAATTGTTCCGCCGTTTTACTCCATTGCCATGAGTTAATTTATCAAATTCATTTAGCATAAAAGACCGAGCATTGTTAGAGATGAAACACTCATCGTCGTGAAGAAAACCGCTCCCTTTGATTGCAACGGTTCCTTTAAATATGTTACGGAAGAACTTTCCCATACTGTCATAGGTCTGACTATCGAAGTTTCTGAGTTGAGCTTCTCCTTTAACAAACGGTGTCTAAAAATAACATTCAATTGGCAAAAGTACTTCAAACAAATGCTGCGTCCAACCACACCACTTACTTTTTTCGTTTCTGCATGAATTTATTAATGTAAAGTACTTTTCTTTCTCATTTTACTATCACCTAAGTCCGGAAGCGCATGAGGTCAAAATCGGTCAGCGAAGATCTCTGTGCAAGCATGAGTCAAGGAAAAGTACGATCGTTTTACATTAAGATTTGTTACATGATTTTTCGAGCAACTCAATGGTAAATTAAGTGACTGGCTTCAAGAAATTCCAAAACAGTCCAGCCTTTTTTTAATTAACTTTAATAAATTCAAATATGAAAATCACTGCAGTGTTTTAATTGGATTTTCTATTGCAATCAAGTAAATTTCGCAACTAAACCTTTTTTTGTAGAATGACCATCCGAGAACTAACAGCAACGAATTTCTTTGGATCGGAAACTTTTTGGTAGATACGCAACAGCCGAGATGACTGAATGCGCCACAATGTCACAAAAACAACAACGGTTAAAAATAATGGGATTACAGCGAGGGCACCTAGCTGAAAAGAAGTACATAAATCGAAATATTTCACATTCCGAAACAAGTGAAACCTCTCCAGAAACTACAGTGGAGCATTAAGTAGAAGCAAATGAACGCCTTATTCAAATAAATAGGACAAAGGACTGAAAAGTTATTACTTGTGCCAAGAATAAAGAAATCTTTTAAAGTAAAGTGCTAACTTAACTGCTCACTCAAACGTAACGAACAAGTACAGAAAGACTGATATTTGAAGAGAAGCGATGTACTCACCTCATCAGCGTCATTCAATAACTTCTGCGTAAAACCAAAGTGTACATCATTCCATAATATATCTACAGCAAGTACCAAAAACCCGCAGATTATTGGTGGTAATAATAAAGCAGCAAAATAAAAATGTTTGCTTGAGTTAACATCACGGTAAACCAAAACCCAACTATCTCTATCCATATTGTCGTATAAGTGAACTTGTTTCACTCTACCTGGATGAAAAGCATCCTTTTTCGACTGAAAGAAAAAGTAAAATTGCCCCGGAAAAAGCATGGTGAACTTTAACCAAATAGTAAAAATGTGAAAGTCTGGCTCAACGTATTTATTTTGAGAGAAAAAGCTACTGTGCAATCCATATTTTTTACATCATTTCTTAGCCTAATAAAAAGCGATTTGGTTCAAACAGTAAATGAATATGTCAAAGCAATACTTCCAGTAACTTGAAAGAATCAAAGCTACGATATTTAGGAAGCATATCAGCGAAGTTCAGTAAAATCACTTTTATCCAACAAATTTACAAAGAAGAGAACTAAAAAATTTTAGCAAATCTTCATACTCAGTGAAAGCTTATTATACCGTCTGTATTACTATATAAAATAGTACTTATGAAATATCAACGAGAAATGTGCTAGTCGAAAAATGAATTCCATACATTTTACTCCTGGCTCAAAAACCGCAGATACCATTCGAAAAGTTGATTTTGATTAACTAAGCGAGTTTTATTCGTTGCTTTAGCACCAAAGAATTTTTTGACAGACTACTTTACACTTGAGGCTAGACTGGTTACTCACCAACAAGTAAATTAAATCTGAAAAAAAACACCCAACATCTTGCTTATTGATATGAGGCCTAAAACATGTCAATATTTGAAGCAATCAAATATAATGATTTACAGTAAGTACGATAAGTACCAATTAGAACCACATAGGAACTTTAAAATCGATTGTAAATATTTTTGAACCAGATTATAATAAACATGTGGAAAAAATTGAGTTTACAGAATTAATTCAGTTTCAAACATCCGATATCTGATAATGATTTTACATTTTTAAAAGACCGAAAACTGATATAATAATCCTTCAACCAACCTCCTATAAAGAATTGAAAGGATAAAGCTTAACCTAAATTGTTAAAAAATTCTCACAGTACTAGGTTGTTCCCAAAAACGATTAAAAATGCTCGTCTTTGTCCTCTGCTCTCAATGTACAAAAACCTGTTTTCAATAAGTATAACTGTAAGCTATAATCGGAACTGAATTTCTCGCGTTTGTGTTGAGTACCGCCTAGTAGCTAAGTTGTTTTTCAATCGTAATATATCTGTTAAATAACACAATGTTTCTCAAACCAGTCGTATTCTTTTGCAAGAAAATTTCGTCGCTCTTCCATATCAGACTACTTGCCCTCTCATCTGCTCATGCACCTCAGAAAGCTCCATAGCTTCTAATCTTTGGAAAACCATATACTCAGTTTGATGACCGCTGATACAAATCAAATGATTTTAAACAATGCAGAGGATAGAACTATTTCGATCAAAAATTAGAAAACCTCATTTTAGCGGCGCTTGCGCAACAGATTTCCAGTCAGCGCATTCCGCTGATGCTTAATGACCACTCAAAGAGCGTCGGAAAGGAAAACTACATTTAAAAGTGCACAGTCCTGAACAAAAGTAAGCTACCCAGTTCTTGAAAAGTAATTTAAAATAGTTTTCTACATCACTGAATAATTTTAAAAACCTCATTTTTGTACGCTTGGAAATTAGGCAAAAAGGCTGGAAAAGGTAACTCACAGAACCATCGTCTGACTATCCCCTTACAATGCTTGGAAGTCAAATAATTTACTTTTTCTAGAGAAGTGACTTACAAGTTACTTCCCGGTTTCAGTCTTAAACTGCTTGTAGCTATCTTAAACTAAAATACACTAAATATTTTTTTTTTAAAAATTGAAAACTAACCTCATTTAAATTCCTGAACACTTCGCCTAAACCCCCAGGTAAACGAGTGATGCTGGAAACACTTAACGGCACCGCAGTATGAACACGCAAAGTCAACCGACACAATAGAAAACCCCTTGTAAACCGCAACATCTTAAAACTCAGCACTCGGGTGGCAAGGAATAAATAACGGTGCCGTCTAAAAAAGAAAAATAGCCCGTAAAGAAAACAAAAGACCAAAAATTAACAGCAGGCGAAAGATTTAAAAAATAAATCAGCAAAATTTTTTAGAGGCGACTTCAAAAATCAATACATGCATTTAAAAGCAAAATAATAAAACGTGACTCCTCTGTATTTTAGAAACACTAGAAAGCCATTTTGAAAATCTGAATGACAGAAAAAAAGTGAAAAAAAAAATAATAAAAAAAAAAGTCCCATTATCGTCACAGACGTTTGGTTGTCAGCCCTTCCGAGCTGTCCACTCAAAATCCCGATTTCACAATTTTAGCTAGCCTAGGTGAACATTTTAATATGTACCAAAAATTACTGCAGAAATCCCCTTGCAAGTTTTTGACACCTTTAATCTCCGTTTCACAATAACAGCTGTAAGCAACAGTCAGCTTTCATTAAGGCTTAAATGATAAAAGTAGATTTTGATGTATCGGTATAACTAACCTTAAGTCTTATACTTCTTTTAAACTGCTCTTTACCACTTAAAGAAAGTTCATATTTAGCTTGTCAACCGATGACCCCTAAACATTTGTCGTTGACAGTAAATGCAGAAAAAATTCCAAATGAGCTTCCAAAGATCCAAAATTTTTGTTCTGCTTAAACCAAGTTTGGTAAACCGTAGACATTTCTAACCTCATTATTTCTCGTTTAAAAAACAGCCAAACTTCTAATCAACTTACTGACGCTGAAGAAAGCATTGGCGATTAATTCTTTCTCAAGAATCTGAAAGTAAAGCAGGATGGAAAGTGCAGTAATTGTTGCCAGTGATGTAAAGACTACAACTAGCCAAAATAGTTGCTGCAACAGATTCCTCCAAATTGAACTGAATGCTCCGAATACAATCAGGTTTCTCTACTTCTGGGTAGATTCAAAAGTCATTTAACTCGCAAACAATGCAAATTCTAAAACAGTTACCAAGTGATCAATCCAGTGACCTGATATCTTTACAAAAAAAAAAAACAAAAAAAAAAAAAGACATTACTATCAGTCGGTGAGATAAGATTAAGTTGCTATTCACAAGGAGAAACGGAACTGACATTAAGCAAAAAATTTCACTGAGCACAGAGGATAAATGTTAGCAAAAGTTTTATAGCTAAAGCTTCTCGAAGAAACTAAGATTTAAGCAAAATTTCTTTTGGCAAGTTGTCAATTGTACGGTAGACGACACTAACAGCTTAATATTTAGACGAAGTACTGTAGTTACGATTCCGTTACATAATTGCTGTGTTCAACGAGAGAAAATGCTGCTAAGAACTAGCAGATGAAAAAATGTTTTTTTACGACTTTTTAGTGGTTTCTTTCCAGCGCAGGTCAGAAAGCCGATTGTAGCCAAATATGGTACAAGAGCACTAAACTTCAATTAGCAGTTAGCTAACTGTTGGACCAGTATGGTCTGCGACTGTGTTTTACTAGACTCTTAAATTTTTTTACTTCGAGAACAAATGCTACCAACCTTTTTATCGATAAAAAATTACATTACAGAAAAATGCAGGCTTTCTGATTTTAAAACAAGTTTTTTTCATATATGCTTAATGCGCAAAACTGAAATGCAACAAGCAGAAGCAAAAGGTGTAAGAATAGAAGAAAAATTTTTTGATATTATACTATACAGAACTTCTAGTCTAATATTAACCTTATCTTGCTGTTTAGCACAATTTATTAGATATCCAAAAATGCTTAAATAATTCAACGTTTATTACCACAGTACCTGATGCCAAGATGCACGTACTGCTGTAATACATTACATGAACATCGAAGAAGCTTTTTTCTCACAGTCTTTTCGTCCCCTAAGATAACTGACACTGTGGTCGTAATCAAACAATTGTGCTGTTCATCCTCATTTCAAGTAGTGCTTTCGTCAGAAATCTATTGGTGAGTAGCAAAATGAACAACTAGAGCTTTGATGAGAAGAAATGGTATTTTGAGGCATTAATATCTGTAACAAACTACTGAGACAAAAATCTTATTGTTCACTTGCAACCTTCTTAAAAATTTTATTTTATAAAAGCAAAAAAGTATAAAACATAAAAAAATTCAAAAAAAAAGTCAACTCAAAATACGTTACTAATAATTGTGCGACGGTGGAAAACTACACAAAAATTTCAGTACCTCTTTCATTGACACTCAAATAGTTTCGTAAGGAAAAACATACAAAATTAGTAAAAGAAACTCTATCGTTTGAATATATTCCATTCATTCTTATAAATATTATTTAAAACTGTCTAAAGAAAGTTTTGAAGTATTGTGGTAAACGTCATTACTGTGACCAATTTACATTTGCTTTATTTGTAGTGAATAAGGAAACTGCGTCACCAATACTAATTTTTTTTGGCATTGCATAAGCAAGTGCCGAATTTAGGTTTAAGCTTAACGCTTAACAAAACCAATACAGATCATACTTGTCAGTCATTGTCTGATAGCAGTAATCGTCACTACCAAAAATCTTTCAATAAATTGTCTGTAGACTATTCAATAACATATGAAATTCTTTTTTGGTGCTTCATAATTCTTTCCGGAAGTGCAAAACGCCTAAAGGTTTTCAAAGTTCAACTGACCTAAGTAGGGCGACCTCAACGCTAGAACATCAAGAACATCGACATAATTACCACACTTTCGCATACGGTAGCTATACTTTCTGAACCAAATGACAGCAAATGAAAAATGAAAAAAACAAAGAGGTTTCTAGAGCAGTCTAAATATTTTTTAATTTTGCTAAAGAGACCATATGAATTCCGAAAAACTACTGAATTCAAGTGTTCCACTTGTCTATGACATTTTACCAACAGTCATAAAATTCATTCTCAAAAAACAGTTTAAAAAACTTCAGCCTTATTACACTGTAAATAAAAACTGACTTACCGATTACTAAAAGCAAAAAAAAGAAATCAACTGCAATAAAATTTCTTCTTCTTTACCCTTACAAAAGTTGGATTTCAAATAAAGGTTCTTGTTTGTCCTTAACAAGCTGTACAATAACTTTTTTTATTGTAAATCCTTTATTACAAATTTTCAACACTAAGAACTCTTGAAAACGAATTGTTTGCTGATAAATAAAGACATTTATAACAGTGCTTAAAGAGCAGCTTTTTGATTTAACGATAAACTTTTTGTATACAAAATTGTATTTACCAGGTCTGAGTTTAGTTATAACAAATTTGGAACATTTTTTATAGCGTCAAACAACAGTGTAACATACAGGAAATTCAAGAAATTTGCTGCAACAGAGAGGATAACTACTAAAAATAAATCATCATGGCGATATATACTATTCTCGTATCAATAATTTTAAATTGAATTATGATATCAAGAGAAATGTCTTTAAGTTATATTCTCTTTAGTTTTAAAATCTTCTCAAAAGCCAGAATTCAGCACAGTGGGTAAAACAAGTTTCATAAAATGAATTTTACTGTAGCAAAAAATTTTTGAGAAGGGTAACTGTAACTGTGAGTTATCAAAGTGGAACAAAGGGTGCCCAGACTATTTTTATTCAGAGTATTAATAAGGGACAATTGTGAACAGATTTTCTATACATTATGTCTCAGCTTTTTCGCTTCTTTCAGACTCTTCTTTATTGTTCAACAGACTTCTACTTTTAACTTATTAATCAATAACTTATTATTAAATGTTAGTGAGTAAAATAAAAAAAATTTTAAAAATTTAATGAATATCTAAGCTTTTTGTCTTATTCTTTGAAACTGATTTTTGGGGTTTAAAGAAAGTTGTTATCTAGCTGGTCAGCTGATAATTCATTAACGAGTGTTGATGACAGGCAAAAACAAAAAAACTCCAAAAAAACTGCCATTTATCCAAAATGCTTTTGTGCTATTTAAAAACAGCTTATTAAAATTTAAATGTTTCAAGACTTATAAGTCTTTGCATAAACAAATATCTTAACTTTAAATCAACTTACAGTCGTTGCTAGTTGTACAAAAAACTAAAATTTTCTAAAGACCAAGTTGGATCAAAGCAGAATAAAAATTGTAACGTTTGTTGTGACGAATAGATTTATAGTCACCTAAAGTAAGTATCAGCTCAATGCAACGCGAAGAAAACAGTCTAAAAACGAACATTTATTCCACATTTTTTTGGATAAATTCGAAAGCAGTGCAACTGATAAAATAAAATGTAATTATTTGGTTAAGAATCTGACCATTCAATAGGTGCAACTGACCAAACAAAAATACAACGTTTAAATTTCCTGTTGAAGAAAATGTTGTCTGCAATATTTTATTCAGAATTTAACTTTAAAGTTAAACTGTAAAAGTCAAAATACGGTTTATATTTGTTCCAGAAACACTAATTTGCACATATACAACCATTATAGAACAAATTTTTGACATTGATTTTGTGCATAATTTAGTTTTAAGTAGTGATAGTATTATATAAAAAAACTAATAAAAGTGAAAAAAGAGTTGCTAATTTCACTGACTGTTAAGGTACTTTTCAGCTTTGCTTTTGTCGCCTCAATTATTAGTATATTTTATGACTTATTCATTCAGAATTTTTATGCCTCTTCGTTGATTCTGTTGACTTTTTGGTTTTTACGAAAGGATAAAGTTAACTAATGTACAGCAGCTAAAAATATTGAATTGCTGATCACAAAACAAATTCAAATATTGTAACAGAAGCGGTTGAAATGTCATACATAAAATTTTTAAGAATATTTAGTA